GTCAAGCTTGCTGTCATCTTCGAGCCTGAAATTGCGATCCACTAAGAATATCTTTTTAAGAAGCAATTCCAATGGTTGTATACTTATATCATCGCAAGATAATTCAAAAACAATTACTTTATCATCTTAAGCAAAATATGATAAATATAGTTCTAATACACGATCTATTGTTATTGAAATAGCCTATTTCGCTTTTATTAGAATACAAGTCTGAATTATGTACATTATTTGGGAGACTTTCATTTCATTTGAAAGTGTATGACGAAAAGATTCGAAGGTTAATCTCATCCGAAGACGGCTTAATTCCGTTTTACTGCAGCCGATTGACTTTCATGCGGCGTTCAGGGTGATGCAGTCCATACGACTAATGCCAGGGTCTGATAATCAAGACCTAATGACCCAAGAAAAAGCCCTGGCCGAGACTGTGTAAGTCCGTAAGCAAGTATTTTTGGGATAATGAGATCTAAGCTTCTAAGTGTTTAAGTCAAGTTACGAAAGCAATTGTCATAACCTCAGTCTAGGGTCATTAAGATTCAACAGCCATCCTCTTCTGATAAGATCAATCTTCGAATCTCTTTATGAAATTAAAACCTCCCCAACAATGTTAGCTCAGGAGATTTATCGGAACCCAGTTACTCTTCGTATCATGAAGACGAGTTTAGAAGTGAGTTTTGATAGATATGGTTTGTGCTTAAAACCATATATACTGTCAAAACCACTGAAACCTATGGTTAAGAGAAAAGTAGCGTTGTGACCTGATTCGAAACCCGATTTCAATTCCGTTGTAGTTTATTGATAGGATCTTGCCCTGTCAAATTTGCATTTAGCCTGGGTTTGCAAAGTTCTTGGTAAGTAGGACCAATTAATATGTAATGGCTCCATACGGCCTTCAAGTTAGTTGATTAAGGAAAATTCAGTCACCTATATATATATATATATATATAAAGTAACTTTTTATTATTTAAGTTCTGTCAGTATCAAGGCCTGCTTATTTGGTATGTGAAGAAGATACTTTTTGGTTTCATGTAACCAGGATGAGTTCAAATGTTATTAAAAGGGGGATTTGTCCAGAAAAAAGTGGTTTAGGGCAGGATGAAATAAAAATATACACAACTATCAAACATGGAAATGACTTGGTTAAAAGGTTTTCAGGTGCAAGTTATCCCTCATCTTTATTAAAGACTATCCTATTGGATGAATATAGGATCATAATAAATTATAAAAGAATGACATGATTTGTCTAAAATCCTACGATCTCCCGACTGGAAATAAATAAGGGCCAATGACAGGCTTTTTGGACGTATATATAAAATGATTGTTGGAGAAAGTCAGAGTACGGTAACAAATATAAAATAATTAGTAAAATTGGTTTTGCATGCATGAGTTAGGCGAATAAATTCAAATACAAGAATTTTTAGCTGGTAAGTGGATGTAAATCACTTCCTCAATCAGCCTAAGGTCAAATTAGACCGACAGCAGTAATAACTAACAAAATTTCTCTATAAGGAAGAAAGAGTCTTTATCTAACCGAGCCACGCTCCGAAATTATTGTCATAACAGCTGTTTTCTCCGCAATCGCATCCAACAGTGGTTGGCGTTTGTGCCGATATCGAACAGCAAGGTTGCGAAGTTCTGTCTCTAGATCGTTACTTAGTGTGACTAGTAGTTGCTCTAACTCCGAGTATGAAAGACGAGCCAGGCCCCCTGGATCGTTGATGCCTCCGCCACCACCGAGCATGCCGCACTCATGCAGCGCCCGATTCAATGGCGCATATGGCCGCTGGCCGAGTGGAGCAGCTGCGACAGCTGCAGCCGATTTCGCTCCTGTGGACGCTAAGTTTCCATCTGTATTCTCTCTGCTTGATAGATTCAAAAGCATAGAAATAGAAATGATCCGCTCTGGGAAATTTGAATATCGTTATTGCAAAAAAATAATCTGCACACGTTTGTAGGTGAAAAAAATGAAATTCATGCTAGATTTGACAATAAACTGTAAATACAGCCAGTAAGATTGTCATATAACATAATCTTATGCTTTTATGAGCCTAATTTTGGAAAAAACATTGCATGGCCTTAGAGAAGCTGTGCCGTTTGTATGAAATCAGCGCTCAGATGAGAAACTTACAAACTTTTGTAAGCACGTAGAACCACGATCTTCACGGGATGATTAGAGCAGGAACAAGTAGTAATGAATATACTGACTTAAAACACTATCCAGTGAGTGGCTTTAGCACATAGATGAAATCAAAACTAGCCCAACCATACAACATCGATTTTAGACAAAGTTAAGGTCTCGGATCAAATTCTAGCTATTAAATGGCCGTCAGGTCTGGCCACTATGAAAGATTCGGTTCTTTGTAAACACAAAAATGCTAGTAATCTTTTGAAATTAACTCAAAATAATATCGAATCTAGTGTGATTTATTTGCCTTTCATTTACATACAAATGTAAACAGAAGGCTGTTGAATCGATGGGTAAAATCATAATAAGATAATATTGGGATTATATTTCTGATCAATTTATTGCAGATGAGAATTAATTTAAAAAGTTTAGCTATTTCAGCGCGCCAAGTTTAAACATCTCGAGGGTTCTGGATTATGTGATTTTGTGGGAGGCATAAGTAAGGTTTACTCATCTCATTGTGAGAAAAGCTCAATTATCCATACTTAAATCATCTTATCTTTTAATAGAGAACGGGTGCTTGCTGATTAATGTGTGGACTATATGCGGAGCAAAGTGAAGCCTAAGCACGTATTTGATTCGGTGTCTTCGAAAATTATCGAAGGAAATCGCTGTTAATTTCAATTTTGTTGAACCAAATAATGTTAGCAAATAATCTCAATTGCTAATAGTGCTCAGAAGCCTTCAATTAGGAAAGAAATGATTCGTTTAAATATGCCTATTGCCTAGCGATTCAATTTAAGGATGTATAGCCTATTTTTAGGCCAACGGTTAAGCAGGATCAAAAAAATTGTTAAGCGCTGGAATATGCAAGGGTCGCAACAACTCATCACCAAGATTTCAGCAGCACTTATTTAGACTCACGTTTGTTTGTTTTCTACTGGCTTTGGTGGCCCCCTCTTACGCGTCAAAGTGCCTCCCCCCTCGCCGCTTCGGAAAGCGGCTAAATCGCCTTCTCCGTCGCCACTGCTGCTTGCGCTAGTACCGTGCACGACAACACTCCCCATCTCATCAAGGTCATCCTCAACTGCTCCCTCTTCATATTCCTCTCCATAATCCTCATATGCATCATCTTCTCCTTCGTCATCTTCATCGTCGTCGTCATCCTCTTCTTCCTCACCCACCTCATCGTCCTCATCATCAGTCTCGTTAATAACCATTGTCCCAAGCCCGTCAGAACCCGAGGAAAAATCGGCTCCAGTACCACCTGTTTCTGAATGTTGACTACTACTACCACCACTGCTGCTCGGACTTCCACTGGTTACTGTAGCCACACATTCAACTCCTGTGCTGGTAGCAACAGTCGCAGCCGGACCTCCGCGAGCTTGTCTACGGCCGCCACGACGGCCTAAGACCTGAACGCGACGTCGTTCACCTGAAGCGGCACTCGAGCTTGCAGCCACACCTCCACGACCTAACCCAGAGGTGCAGACCATGGCCATGGACTCTTCTCGATCAGGCTCCTCATCATCTTCATTGGTCGAGGTTAGAGAGATCAGAGTGCCAGCCATATCTGAGTCCAGACTAAAATTGAGGCAAAACGTAAGAAAATCATTTTTTGGTAAATAGGTAACGAGCCCTTTAATGGTGTCATAACGCCAGCTGAATAATAGTGGCACAAGTTCAAGAATCCAGGCTTGCCACGTGGGACCTAACCTGACCAAATGCGAGGGCTTTATCCGCCATGGTTGCTGAACTAGAAGACTTTCGGGGTTTAGATAGCCTTTCAGCTTGGTGCAAGGTAGACTCATCCAATACCAAATTCAGGATTTAGTGTAGCTGTCAATCACACCGACAGCACAAGCATTCGCCCACGTTTTCTATTAACATACCCTTTAGACATCATAGTGCTCTACAAAACTGGAAGTTCAGATACGGCTCGTAACTTACCTAACCTGGACCTAATTCAGAAGTTTAACGGGTTTAAAGTTAGCAGAGTTATCGTTAAATGTTTACATTATGAGACCAAATGTAACATGTCGAGAATGTGTATGTTCTGTTTTAACCGTAATTTTATACGTCAAAGTAACCTGTTTATGCAGGTTCTATTATCTTGGACGATGTATTTCATTCATACTTTTATATTCTGTACTGCTCATTTAAGTCTGTTTTTTACATGACGTGTCTTTCCTTAGCTAAAATGCACCGTATACTAAAACTAGAAACTAGAGCATTTTTGATATCCAGTATGAGCACATATTATTTCTCCTCGAAACCGAGTAATGAGAGTATGCAGGAATTCAAAATTTCCAAGCATCCTTAGTGAATACTCCCAAATTATTTATCCATTCGCAATTAACCTTTTTTAGCCAGACATTCGT